CACGAACCACTGTACACCAAAATAATAGTAAAATAAAAAAAAAAAAATGAAAAGGCAGTAAAAGGGTAATGAAAGAGAACAAAAACTACGCTTTGTTGCTGACAATTACACCTAAAAACCACAATTATACTTATCACCAAACTTCAGCCAACCGGTATGCAAACACACATTCCATCGTTGCAAAACCAATTAATTAAATCATCTTACACGAGATCCTCAATCCCATAGACACTCAGCACGAACCACAGTAGACAGAAATGATAAGAAACTAAAAAAAAGAAGAAAGTAATAGAAAGGTAGTATATAGAAACCACCAAAAGTCCATCCAAACAAACATTCCATCATTCTGCGCGAAAACCCTAACTCCGTAGACACTCAGCACGATCAGCACACTCACCACAGTACACCAAAGTAGCAACAAACAAAAAGAAGCAAAAAGTATTAGACGATTGCAAAAGTTCGCGCCTGATTTTCAAAGGTGGCCAGAACCTTATCGACTTCGGCACAAATGTTTCTTTTAGCGTGATGTTACATTCGTACCGAAAGACACACCGCTTGTGTTTTATTTTGAAATAATTCGTTTCATTCCATTTCAGTTTCAAATGAAATCTGCTTTTGTACACACCGATTGTGTTTTATTTTCAAATCGGGCACGAACTTTTGCAATCATCCGATAGTAGGAAGGTAGTATAGAAACCACCAAAAATCGCTCCACCGTCATCCAAATAAACATTCCATCGTTCTATCCAAAATCCCCAACTCGACAGACACTCGGCACGAACCACAGCACACCGAAACAGCAACAACGAGAAAGAAAAGAAACCTGGTATAGAACCCGCCAAAAATCGCTCCACCGTCATCCAAACAAACATTCCCCCGTTCCAAAAAGCAATTAATTAAACCATCCTACCCTAAATCCCTTAATCCCACGGACACTCGGCGCGAACCACGGTACACCGAAATAATAAGAAACTATGTAAAAGAAAGAGAAAAGAGAAAAAAAAAAAGAGAAAAGGAAAGAAGTAGTAGAATGGTGGTAGTAGTAGAAGCATAAGAAAAAGCGTCGTAAGCGTGTCCATTGTCGCATGTTCCAGCAACAGATTCACGCGCAGCAGCTGCCGCACGGTGCGGTCGTCGGCGGTCTTCCGCCAACATCCCGCGGCCGCGGCTGCGGTTCAGGCACAGGCGCAAGCGCTTCTGAAGCCGTCGGACCTGCAGCAACATCGGGCGGCCGCGGAGACGCCCGAGGACCGTAAACCGATCGCCCTCACCGACGACAGGCTCAGACGATCCGTCTCGCCGCCGGAGAAATTCCGCAGCCGCACCCCCGACCTCGAGACCGATCCCAAGAGGCGGAAGGAGGAGAAGCTCGGACACGTGAGTTTAATCCTTGCCTGATAATACCCCCCCGTGTGCCGCCTTTTGTTTTTGCGCCAACGCAAGCAAGAGAGAGCGCTCGCGTACACACACACACACACAACACACACACACTTGCACACCCTTCGATCCACCTGTTACGCGCCATTTAAGAATACGCGCCCGGAAGGATCTGCCTCGTGCCTCTTTGTTACCCTACTGGATAACGCTGCTGTCAGGAGGTCTTTTTTTTAACGATCTGGCTAGATTACCTGGGTTTTAGGAATTTTCTTTTTCACTTTCGTTCTCTTTTCGAGCGAACGTTTAGCGGGGAATTTCAGTTTGATTTGAAGTCTTTGCGAATGGAGGACTAGGTGCAATATTGAGGTTAATGCTTCTGTTTTTTTTTTTTTAAGGGAATTATGGCAGAATTAGGTTTTTTTCAGACAGAGGTAGGCACGTGAGTTGGTAGGCTATGGCAACTATTAAGTATATGCGAGTTTGTAGTGTTCCGTGAACGCGTATGAGTCCATCGTCCTCAAAGGGTCAATTGGTGTGAATTTAGTTCGATTCGAGGGATGAAAACTTTTTTTTTTAAATAGAAAGTGTTTATTACTAGGTTGCTGAAAATTTCTATCACAATTACTGTAATTTCTTAATTGCTGTTACTTCATTTCTATCATTAAGGTTAACATTTGCTCAATGTTTCTGTTACAATCGAAATTCTGTTATCCTTCTGAGATCCGAAAAATCTGCCTGAACAGATATTCCGTTTAAAGGTATCAAGTGTTCCATACGTATTTTCGAGCAATTTCGTTCTATCCTCTGTAATCAGTAAAATATCGTGCAAGCATTGTACGAGATAAAAATTTGCAAAAACGTAGAATTCGCGGAAATTTCCTCCCATGTTGAAGCACCACAGGTCGAATAAAACCACGACATAATCCTCAAAGAAGATATCGTTGCGCAGTTTTTATAGTCGTTTCCAGGAACCAACCACCACGTCCCCGTCGAATATACATCAGGCGAAACATCGATGCATGCACATATATACCTTGTGCTCCAACGACTCAAACTCAGGGCAAATAAAATTCGACTCTCCCGGTATTACGCGGCCGCGTGTAACGTATCCATTCCCGGTATACTCGAACCAACAAACCAATAAAACTCCAAAACCGTCGTACCTACTCCTAACCTCCGTCGTCTAACAACAACCGGTACACCGGGAAAGAAAAATTCTTCGTGGAAGTTTCGATAAGTCGACCACGCGAGCGAAACGCGAATAACGAAGTCTTCTCGTTCCACGAACACGATATATTCTACCCTTCGTGTCGAGTCGAGGAAACGGAATAAAGCAGCATGCTGCAGTTTCTTCCTCAACACATATGTACGTGTGTGTAAAGGTAGATGGGAAAAAATGTGAATTGGAAATCATCGAAATTGACGGTTCCTGTTTTAAGGCCTCGCAATTTTTAAATGCAACGATTGTGAATTACGGAGGTTGAAATATCTGATTTTCACGCTGTGAGTAAACGTTTGGGTTAAGCGTCTGTTTAGTGTCTGAATAATTGAATTAAATATTAAGCGTCTGACATGTGAAAAATTATGAAAGCTGAGAGAAATTTTCAGATGTCGAAGCGAGAGCGAAAAGAAAATTTCTGTTTGGAGAATTACTTGATTATTGTGAAACTTGTGTCAGGTGAAATTTAGTTAATTGAAGTATTGCAGTTCAGTTTCTCACATTTTGTCTGATGGGAAATTCATGTGTTAGAACAGTGAATCTTAACCTTTCATAAAAGTACACTTTGTTGCTAGATCTAGCGGCTTCTGAGCTCTCACGCCGCACCCCCAAAAGTTTCAGTTCTATACCACAAAATATTCCAAACAACGAAATAAAAATTGAGAATTTTTCAAAGATCCCCGAAGCAACTTCGCTCCATCAAATTCCCAATGAAAATCTCGAAATCTTAACGTTCCCCCGAAACTCTCCCTTAACGTTGCAGCAACCGTAGAACCAAGCGCTCTAAGCTCGCATGAATTTTAAAAATGGCCACTGTTCCCCCGTCGAACCGACGAAACGGAATAAAGAATCATACTGCAATTTGTCACAGTGTACACATGCACACCGGGCAGAACTGTACAATATAGACAGAAAGGGAGCGCTGGCGAGAGCGAGACAGAGAGAGAGAGAGAGAGCAAATAAAAGAGAGACGAGCATAGAGCAGCCTAAAAATTGGATTACTTTTGTCCGCGGTAAAATGGAAAAGCGGGGCGGGTAACGCGGGCGTAACGTGAGCGCGTACCATTCGTCGCAGTCGTGGGAGTTTCTCCACGGCGTGGCTCCGTGAAATATCCATGAAAACAGGCTCCTTTGTCAGGATCGCGACGACAAAGTGCGCGCGCGAGAGACGCGAGAGACGCGAGCGACGCGGGGAGGCGCGTAATTAAAAACCGTGAAAACAGGCGAACTGCAGGCTGTCGCTTCGCTCTCGCGCTCTCTCGCTAAATTGGATTATTTTTCTCAGCCTGGTTCCTCCGTTCCTCCCCTTCTTCACCTGCTGCAGGAGTTAGAGGAGAGGGGAAATGGGAAGGGTGGCAATGGTGGTGGTGGTGGTGGTGGTGCTGCTTCCGCCGTGTTTCCCTCGACCCGGCTGCTTCCCAACGATTAAAATACTCCTTCGCGAGTGTACCTCGTTTTCGCGTAACCTCTTCCTCTCCGTCCTTCTTCCCCATCTTCTTCTTTCTCCAAACCCGCTCTTTCTCTCTCTCTCTCTCCTCGTTTTCGTTTCGTTCCCGTGCCCTTTTCGCCGGACCAGCGCCGTTTTCTCGTCGCCGGTAAAGTGACGCGTCGCGACGCGGTCACGAGCGGCCGTAGGAAAGCGCAAGCGAAATCGCCCTCCGTTTTCGTTCCGCTTTCGAGACGCGAGAATTCACCACTGTGGAAATTAAAGGGGGCTTTCCCTCTCTGCTCTCTAGTTTGTGTTCTTTCTCGCTTCGGATTACCGGGATTCTTGAAATTTTGACAGACCCCCCAACCGGTATAAATAGTCATTCATCACTGCTGTGCCTCCCTACCGACATACGCTAAGCTCTAATTAGCACTTTGGACCTGGTGAATGCGCGATATTTCGCGACTCTCCTCTCTTTCTCCCACTCTCCCGAGGAAATTTTTCGGCAACGTCGAGCTGTTTCCGGCGCGTTCTTCGTGGGAACGCTGACGATTTTCTGTTGTACGTGGAAAGAAGAAATTTTGATAATCGATAAAGAGAAGATCTAAGGCTTTCACGGCCCGGAGGATTGATTAATTATGATTATCGGTGTGTTTCGCGAACCCTGAAACGTCCGAATAATCTTTCCATAAGGACACGGTTTACACCCGAAAGCCTCGATAATACTGATAAAAGGAAGGTTGCAGCAATTAATATTTGCTAATTCTTTGCACTCGAAAGTCGCCTACAACAACGCTACTGAAAGTTACCCGGAAAATCTATCCGTTTTAATATTCTTCCCACTTGGGAGAAAAACGACAGAGAAAGTTTTTTCCTCGAAAAGTTTGTGAAAAAATATTTTTTTCGAAATATTTCCTCGAATTAACGATCTACTTGGGGAAAAATTCACGGGACCTTGTTACCCGTTCCGCTAAGTTCGGTACACCGTGAAAACCAGTTTTGCCAGTCTGTTCGTGCGTGTGTTGTTTTTTTTCTTTCTCCTTTTTTTTTCAAATATCTGTTAAACAACTTCTTCAACATTGTTCACGTTTCCTCGACAATCCGCTCGCAAACATTCCAGGCCGAGTATAGCGAACGCGTTGGCGTTCCTTGCAGGCAGGAATTTTTGAGTTGCTGGAGAAACGTTTACGCTCTCTCATTATTCATGTGTTTCTCGCCGCCACTTAGCTCGGAATCGCGTGCCAGACTCGATAAAAATTAAATGTACATTTTATCTGCAATGTAAGGTAGCAACGCGGAATTCATAGCGAGGCGGCGTACGCTGACTTGTTGGTTTTTAGAAAGAGAGAGAGAGCCGTACGTAACGACTCGATCTTAATTACAACGGTAATTGCAGAATAAAACCGAGAGCAAGTGATTCTGCTGTTTGTTAAACAGTTTAGTTTAGCAAGCAGAAATTTCTGTCATTTTTTTCTCTCTCTCTCTCTCCCTCTCTCTTTTCACAAACATCGCATGTTTTTCACCGAATCCATTTTTTTTTCGTTTTTTAACGTGAACCGTTTACCGAAACAAAGACTGAATATTTATAGTCTTTTCGTGTGTAATTTTTCAAACGTCTATCGTGAATCTACATTTTTTCCCCCGCGAGGTGTGTAGGCTGTGTTACAAAGTCCGTGTATGTATTTCAAGAGTTGATATAAAAAATAGCAAAGTTCAGTGATTTTTCGAAATATGAATGAAAATAACGATAGAGAAGAGAGTCGTTCGGCTGTGAACGAAGTCTTCGTTCGAAGTAGAACGTTCTACAGGGAAAAACTGTCCCATATTTTCAACTTAATTTTTGTACATTTTTAATTGCAGCATATTGTCATTATTTTGAAAAACGTTCATTGTTATTTTTGCATAGTTGATTTATTATATATATAAGGATATTGAAAAACAGAATATTTTGAAACTGATACATTTTGTTTAATACATACTAGTTATAGTGCATAAAAATAAAACGTTTTAATTTTTGTAATTTTCCAAAGTATGATACTTGACAAAACAAAGATCATGCCGCCATAGCGGCGACACCGATTTCTAGAACAAAATTGAAATGCCGCCACTATGGCGGCACCGATCGCAAAGGGTTAAAACTAAAGTTAAAATCTTGAAATCTAAAAATCTTTGAATCGTACATAAACTTCTACTTTCAAGCACGATGCTCATTTCTACTTCCTTTATCACACGTTTCATTTTTCAACTAAACGAACTCTTAATTCTAAATCCTAGTATCCCCCTGTCTTCCCTCGAAACACATTAATTAACAATAAAACTCTCGAATCGTCCGAATTTAATCATAGGATTAAC